TTTTTTTCAAATTGAGTATAGGTTATATGAACAAACTTACAGGTCAATTTAAAAATTAGATTAAGGAAGACAAGACTTGAGATGATTTTAAGATGCTTTTATGTAATTTAAACAACTACAAAAACAACAGTAATAAAATTAACTTTATTGAAAGAGACACTTCATCCAAAGTGTTGAAGAAGAGAAGACAAAAAAGTTGCCCGTTGCCAGATTTGAACTAGCGACCTCGGCATGAACTCGATGAGAGAGTACAAGTGCCGCGCAATAACGACTATGCTAAACGGGCTTAAAGCTCGCCTCTTCCATATAAATAGTGATGGTAAGATTTGTCGTAATCTTTCTTGATTCAAAACAGACAAATGTCATCAATCCACTCGAACACTTGATCCAACTCTCAACAAAAAGTCAATCACGTTCCAAACTAATCGTACTCTGGTATTGTGAAGAGACAAGTAAGTATACCTCAAAATAATGACAATATTTAGAAACAGAGACAATGTTGACTATCTCATGTTCTGGTGAATGGTTGAGTTGCAGTGAGGACTGGTCCCTGTTTTGGTACGTGAATGGGATGAGAGATGAGAGTTAAGGTTTAAAGCAGTATCAGATGAAGATCGACAATATGGTTTCTAATACGGAGATGGTCTGACTGAGATGGCTGACATCATCATCATCATCATCATCATCATCTAAAATGTTGATTGATGGAATAAGCCAAAATAAAATAAAATAAAATAAAAAACACCCTCGATCAGTCTTTTTTTTTTTTTTTTGGTATTAATAAATCATTGACCACATTTAATTTGAATTGCTTTCTTTCAAAAATTCTCATTCATTCAGGTTCAAAACTCATTAAATATCAGATCATGTACTCCATTCCAATTAATCATAAGGTCAATTTACCACCCATTCGTTTCTTATTACAAGAAGTGGATGGTTTAATACCTTCTCCTCCTATCAATTTATTACCTATCACTTTACCACCTATTCATTATAATCCATTTTTATTTCATCTTAATCATCTACATCATCATCATCACCACCATCAAAATCAATTACCAAAATCTAATTCAAGTCAAATTCAAAATTCCAATATAATTATTAAACCTAAACGTAAACAAGTTAAAAGAGCTTGTCAAAATTGTCAAAAGGTTTGCGATTTATGATTTATATATGATTCCAGAAATATACATATATATACTAACCTTTTGTTATTATCTTTTTGAATAGGCATGTAAAGGTTGCGCAGATACAAGACCTTGTCCAAGATGTATAATACAAGGTTTAACAAACTCATGTAAAGATGCACCAAGAAAATCAGATTTAATTCAACAAAAAAATTATCATCATCATCATCATCATATCAAACTTGAAAGAAGTTCTTCAAATTCATCTGATTCTTCTTTTGAGACCATTTTGCTTCAAAAAAATCCAAATGAGGAATTTTTGGTTCGTTATATATACATATATCTATATATGATGTCATATAATAAAATGACTGATTGTTTTTTTTTTTTTTTGCTTAGATTAAAAACAATTCACAAGGAAAACCTTTAAAAAGATTACAAAACAAATCAATTATAGTAGAAGATAGAGATCATAAATATTTAAAAATTAATCATGATTCGTCATTTTATTATATCTAAAAAAAAAAAACTCATATTTGTTTAACAGAATCAATCGTATTTGTACTGTTCTATTAACTAATTAAACTTACCAAGAACTATAAATCGAAAACATAAACACATCTTACACTCTTTTAAGCTTTCTTTTTTCTCTCTCTTTCTCTCTTGTAGATCAATCTACACAATATCCTCATTTATTACATTATGAATCATCTTTCTTCTTCCTTAAACCGCATACATACACTTAGTATATAGATTGTAAACAACTTTATTTTTAAACCTTTTTGTTTTAAACAATATTGGGTATATTTACATTTATCACCTTTTGATCATCTTACTGTATAATAATTATCTAGACATTAAGTATTTTTTTATATATTACCAATTTCAGCTTTTGAATCTTTACTTTTTTTAATCGAACCGAAATTTATAATATATATATATATATATATATATAAAGAAGTATGAATGATCATTATCACGTGTTTATAGATCCGTCTTGTATATAGATATATATATATTACACAAAACCTTTTTCACCTTCTGTACTTCTTCTTTAGTTTAGTTAAACACATATTTACTCGAATTCTTTTACAGTATAGTTTAAGAAAATGGATATATCATATGAAATTTAATGATTTTGGATACTTCATTTTATTTTTCTTCTTCTTTTTATGATATTTAAATAAGCTTTTTTTTGTTTTTTTTGTTTCTATAATAAAAAACGTGTATGTATATATATATGTACTTCAATTTTATTCATGAGAAACTTTGAAATTCTATGATTCCTCAAAATAACATCATAATTAATTAATTTAAATATGTATTTTTTATATATGATCAAGTTATTTATCAGTCAATTTTTTTAATAGCTTTCTTTTTTCTTCATTTATGTCTCCATTATAAAAGAATGAAAAAATGCACTTACTTGAACATAAAATAATATTCCTCCAAAAATGATTTTAAAAAAAAAAAAAAGACTAAGATAGATTTATACAAAGACTTGATATATTTATATATTTAACAGTCAAGAAGCACATATATATATATATATAACTAAACAAATAAAGGGTCATCATCACCTTTGTCCAAAAAAAAAATAAAAATAAACCAAAACCCTTTTCAACCCAAATCTCACCTTCATTCATTCAGTAAATCTCCTGTTATATCTTTTTTTTAACTCTAGTTTTTACGAATCTCTCATGAAACCATTTAAATGATCAAAAATTTGATCATCTAGAATATCTACTACAAAGGATTTTTTTTTTTTTTTTTTTTTTTTTTTTTT